ACAAGAACGTTTTATCAATTCCCCTACACCCATAAGGAAATACTTAAAGGACTGTTTAGACTTTTAAAAATTTTACAGAACTTTCAATCCTAATTTTTTTTTTTTTTTTTTTTGAGACAGGGTTTCTCTGTGCAACAGCCCTGGCTGTCCTGGACTCTGTTTGTAGACCAGGTTGGCCTTGAGCTTGGAGATCCACCCGCCTCTGCCTCCCAAGTGCTGGGATTATAGGCGTGTGCCACCACTGCCCGGTTTATTGCCTATGTTTTTAACAGGAGCATTGTAGGGTTGGGTGTGGTGTGTACGCCTTTAATACCAGCACTTAGGAGGCAGAGGCAGGTAGATCTCTATGAGTTGAGGGCAGCTGGGTGTACACAGAAAGTTCCAGGACAGCCAGAGATACACAGAGAGACCGTCTCAAAAACAACACCACCGACAAAATAAAGGGAGCACCGTGGAACAGAACGAACAGAACATTGGGACCTAAGCATTTTGGTGTGGTTCCAATGCTGCCTTACAAGGGCCCTCACCGGTGAACTGACAGTAAGGATGAGTGGGGATATTAGTGGAGTTGGCAGACTCCTGCTTCCTTTCCTGGGAATAGGTCCATGTTTTAATTCCGAGAAAGTAAGTATGTTAGGTTATATGATAAAGAGAAAACTAGGAGGCAGATGGAATTAAGGCCAAGCATCAGACAACTTTGAGGGGTGGGCCCGATCATTCATAAAGGACCTTACAAGAGGAAGAGGAAGGCAGAAGGCCAAAAGCCCAGTGCTGGCAGCATCCAAAGATCTCAGGCCTGCACTATTTATTGGCTGTAAAGACACAGGGATTGAGCCTGAAGCCAAGGAATGTGGGCAGCTTCCAGCTCTGAATGATGCAGATCTTCCATCAGACTAGAGTCTCCAGAGGGCACACAGCCAGGTGGACACATTTTACATTTCTGAACTCTAGGGATGTTTGAGAAATAAATATTTTGTGGCTTTATATGTAGAATAGTGTGGTAATTGGGAAGAGCAGAAACTAGGCATGGCAATATGCAAAGGTATTCTGAAACTGTGGGAAATAAATGTACATGCTTTGTTTCAAGGAACACACCAACACCTCAAAGGTGGCTTCTCAGAGTCTTGCTGTTAGATCAGTGGGTGACTGGGAGGTCTTCAGTCTTCTTACGGTCCCTCCCGCTTCAGTACCTGCTCAGTTTTAATTTTCGAATTCACTGTACTTTCAAAGCTGAGTTGATTACAAAGCAATGATCGAACCAGATCTTTCTATTTCCCTAGCTTCTCCTCAACTGTTCATTACAGTGGCCTTCCCAAAGACCGTTAGAAGAACCGTTACTGTGGTTGTTAGAGGATCGTAGCAAAGCTGTAAGAAAATAGCTGGGCAGTGGTGGCACACACCTTTAATTCCCAGCACCTAGGAGGCAGAGGAAGAGGCAGGCAGATCTCTGTGAGTTCGAGACCAGCCTGGTCTACAGAGTGAGTTCCAGAACGGCCAGGGCTACACAGAAAAACCCTGTCTTGAAAAACAAAACAAACAAAAATTACAAGTAAATAATAACGAAATATTATTTAATGAAAAATTAGTAACGAATTCCCCCTTAAAAACAACTGTATAAGGGTTAGGAGCGTAGGTCACTTGCCTAGAACGAACAAGGCCTTGGACTCAATTTCTGGAATTGCAAAAGAGGGGTATTGATCTGCTAAATCACCAGAACAACAACTTTTAAATCAACACGCTAAGCATATATTTACGTTTTAGTTTCCTCAATTTGAATAAGAATGTTAATGGATTTTCTTATGCAGGTTAAGTTATTTTCAGCACACGAGGGAGAATTAAAATCTCAGAAGCACGTTCTCATTCACTGTCTTACATTTTCAAATGATCCAGCAATAAAAACCTGAGTGCAAGGGAATAAAACACATAAACCTCTGTCTTCAAGTGGAGCTGGGTGTGATGGCACATGCCTTTGATCCTGGCACTTGGAATGTAGAGGCAGGAGGATCAGGGGTGTAAGACCAGCCTCAGCTAGCAGCTACATAGTGAGCTGGAGGCCAGCCTGGGCTACTTGAGACTATGACCCAAAAAGGAAAAAAAAAAAAATGTAACAAAAAACAAAACGAAAGAAAGTAAAACTGATGCATAGTCAAAGTAGACTCAACTTTTTTTTTATAATTAGATCAACCTCTAAATAGCCATTTTCCTTCTTCTTTGGTAAGCATTCATTTACACATATTAGTGATTTATTTATACTTAATACTTTTATATTCTTATTGCTGTCCATTTCGCTTGCTTGCATATCTGTTTGCCTATGTATGTACGTACGTATCTATCTATCTATCTATCTATCTATCTATCTATCTATCTATCTATCTATTATCTATCTGGGACAGGATGTCTTCTGTCTGTCTGTTTATCTCCCTACCTGCCTGTGTACTTGTCAATCTATCTGGGACAGGGCATCTATCTATTTGTCTACCTACCTATCTATTTTCTATGTGGGACAGGATCTCTTCACTCTGTAGTCCAGGCTAACCTCAAATCCTCAGTGATTCTGCCTCATCCTCCCAAGTGCTAGGGCTGCAGGCATATGTCCTTCTACACTTGGCCTGGGAATGCTTTGGAGGTGACAGGAGTCTACAGTTGAAAGACATACCACCCAGTTCTTCCATGGCACAGTTACTAGAATCAGAAAAAACGATTCCATTGAACAGACATTGCAAATGGATTTTTTCATTTATTAAATGCTGGCCAGTAGTATACTCCATGGCTCATATTTTCATGGCATTTTAGAGATTATGGGTCATTCATATTTTTTACCATTGGAAAGAGAATTCCAAGTAAAGAATCTCACCGTAGAGTCGTGTTGTCTAGGGAACTGTGAAAGGCTGTGCTATGTTACATTTGGCTAAAAGCACTAAGTTGATAGTACTCCATGTCTATGGAAACAAATAAAAACATTGGTGGTGTATTTCCCGTGTCTCTGCGGGGTTCTGCATCTCTGTTTTACTAGGGGTTCATTTTCATTTTCATTTTATTTTTACAAAAGCCATGGCAAATGACTTCTAGAAACAAAACAAAATTGCTTCCTCCCTAGCACCACAAAGCACAGAACACAAAACAAACATAACCAAGCAGGTCCTTCACCACAAGCAGCTTGAGAAATGCTGTAAATGAAAAGCAAGTGTTGTTTTAAAAACTAACATACGCCAGCACTATAACATGGTACGTGAAATATTTATTACAGTATATATTGAAATATGTCCCTTCAAGCCATGTATAAAATGAATTTAAATTAGCATGACTTAATAGGCTTCCATGTCTTAAGACTACTTTCCCAATCCTAGATCCAAGAGATCTGTATCATAAAAGGATTTAAAAACTCCAGAGCACACCCAAGTAACTTCTTTACCTCTCATAAATTGTATTTCACTATTATCACTGGGGTATATGGGTCTATGCATACATACACTTCATTACAAAAATTGGCTTTATATGAAAGAGAAAAATGACTTATAAAAGTTCAATAGGTTAATTGCCAAAGTTTCAGCCAGTGGCTCTATGCAATCTCAAATACCTGAAAACAGACTCTCAAGAATCAGGACTGGATTTCTGATCTTTGTGATCTCTTAAGAATTGGACGACAGGGCTGCCAACCAAGGTCCCTCACAAAGAGCCACAGAAATACACCTCCAAGAGCCCAACGCGGGCACTTAAGCAGATGCCCACACGGGCGTGTTTGTGCCAGCATTACTCATAAGAGCCCAAAGACAGGAGCAGTACAATTCAAATGTCTGTCAGCGGATGAGCAGATGAACAGCCCATTGTTTGGTTTACCAATACAATGGAGCGCTGTTCCAGCCATCAAGAGGCATGAAAGACTGAAACATGTGAAAACATGGATTGAACCTAAAACACATTACGGCAGGCAAAAGAAGCCAAACACACAAAAGGTCCCTGTGACAAGATTCCGTTGACGGGAATGTCTCCAGGGAGCACAACCTAGTGAGCCGGGGTTTCACTTTAGATCAAGGAGATGGTGTCTGCTGTCTGTACAGCACTGTGAAAGTACTGAATGCAACCAGAGTGCTCATTTATAAATGGATATTCTGGCTCCTGAGTGTCACTCAAAGAAAAAAAAGGAGACCCACTGATTGGTTCGAGTTATCTCATACTGTCTGCTTATTTCTTTTGATTAACTGTCCAAGGTACACATTTGTCATTCTCTGGAAATGCACTCTAATAAAACAGAAAGCTAAGCCAGGGCTCACAGGCAAGTATGAGGACCCAGGTTCAGAGTCCCCACACAACAGAAACTGCTGGGCACTGTGGTACATGCTTGTAACCCTGGTATGGGGGAGACTGGGATGGATGGGATTCTTTAGCTCTTTGGCTCCCTAGCCTAATGGAACCAGTTAGCTTCAAGTTCCCAGAGAGACCCTGTCTCAAAGAAAAAAAAGAGAATGCATCCTACTGCTACCTCGGTCTCCACATGCATGCGCACTAAGGTGTGCCCCCATGCATGTGAAGACACACAAAGCAAAGCAAAACAAAATAAAGTTAGCTTCAAGCCTACCATTGTCAACAGGGATGAGGTAGGCACGCGTTCAATCGAAAGAGAGAGGAGACCCATGAAAGCAGAGGCTTGGTGCAGGAAGATGCATTCTCAGGGTATCTGCAGAATCACAGACCAGAAAACTACAACCGGTTCTCCAAAGCTGGACCAGCAACAAGCAGGCCCACAGACCTGAGTCCACTGTGAGTCAGACCGCCCAAGCAGCCCATCCCTCCTCCTGGGAGCTCTGCATTCCTTGAAGGGCCAGTGGTCAGGGAAGGCTATTTGAAGCTTTACTGTTAGCTGTTGTCAAAGTTAGCGTTTAAAAAAACGATTATTTTCATGAGTACACAAAACATCAATCTCACTCTCCCAAACAGCAGCAGTTACTCATGGTTTGTGTACTGTTGACATGTAAAATGAGAATGACTGAAATTTTACTTACATATTCCTTGACATTTTTCGTCTTCACAGCTTTGTAGGAATAGTATGCCGGATAGAGCATTCCAAACACCAGCCTGGAAGGAAATAAATTGATTAATTCAACACAGGGGATGATGCTTCTAAGAGCTCTAGACTTAACTCAGGAAACATGTGAAGATGGTAAATTCACATGTCTACAAAATCACACAGAAACCAAGTCTACCCTGAGAGGCAAACTACAAACATATTCTTTAAAAACAAACAAAACAAAAACTGACTGTAGTAACACTCTGGATAGCAGCTTCATGGCAATGAAAACTTTGCCTTTTGAGAAAAACAACCAATTAACCAACCAACTAGCCAAACAAACAAAAACCAAAAAACCCCCAAACTTTTAAAGTATCTTTTTCTTATTACTAAAAAGTGTTTCATTTTTCTTTTCCTGAAGAATATTCAAAAAAAAAAAAAAAGGAAATCAAAAGCAGAAATTGTCCCAACTCTACCAGTTGGAGAGAATCCCATATAATTTTTAAAAATTATTATATAGAGATCCTATTCTTCCATCAGAGAGCAAACTCAACACACACACACACACACACACACACACACACACACACACACACACACACACGATATTGTGGTTTAAAAAAACAACAAAAAACCCTTCACATTTCAAATTACCAGTTTGAGCAGCAGCAGCTTTTATATGACATAGCTGTGAAGTACTCAGTATTAGTTATGATTTACATTAAAATAACTCTAAGCATGGGGAGAGGGATGGATCTGAGAAGAACCAAGAAGGAGAAGTGTGTGTGTGCGTGGAGTGATAGGATCAAAACACATTGTATAAAGTATTAAATTATCAAATACATATTAAAGATAACTCTAAGCATTTATAAAATTACTTTAAATCACCAACAGGATTTAATGTATTTATTGATATCAGTAAACATACAGAGGAAGGACAGATAGACACGTCACAACAGAATAGGGCCTACAGTTAATTTGTGTGTTGCAGATGGAATGTTATGTTCTCAAATGTTACTCAATAGGAATAATCCCAATGTTGCAGATTCCCACTATATTTATAAACTTTGGTTACTATCTGAGTACTTGCTATTGCATATAACACTGTGGGAAACAGTTATCTGAAATTACACTTTTCAAGTAGTTTTTATCTACTTCAAAATACCTCCAGAGAGATTGTTTCATTTTGTGTTCTTACATACTCAAATCATGTTTGATTCAAAATATGCCAGATAAATAATAATATCCTGAGCATTAATAAATCTGATTTTTTTCAAGTGTTTACTAGTATTTGTTCCTTTCCCGAGACAGGGTTTTTCTCTGTGTAGCCCTGGCTGTCCTGAAACTAGCTTTGAGGACCAGGCTGGCATTGAACTCAGAGATCTACCATATGCCACCAGTGTCTGATATTATTTGTATTATTTTAAGCGGCCCTTTTATCTTAGTTTGTAAGTTTTTCAGAAAAGTTAGAAAGTATACAAATAGTTTCTATATATGCCATGCACAGTTCCCCATTATTATCTTACATTGGGAACATACACTGTCACCTTGGCCCAGGGGCTTCCTCTGTCTTCACCTAGAATATGTCCTCTGCTCCAGGCCCCCACCCAGTAAAACACATCATACTCACATGTCTTTACACTTCTCTTTGGCCTGTACATGTCATACTTTCCTTGATGCTAAGGTCACTATGACAGTTTTGAGTATTGGTTAAGTGTACTTAGGATATTTCTCTATTCAAATTTGATGTTCTTCTCATGATTAGTCAGAGAGATGGGTTTTGTGGAGTAGACCACAGAGGCTAGGTACCATTGCTATCATATTATATCAAGGGCACATATGACCAACAGAAATCATCAGTGTGTGTGTGTGTTAATCCTGATCAGTATGCAGCCCTGTTAGACTCTGCCCACTGTAAAATTTTGTTTTGTTTTGTTTCTTAAGATGGAAGTCTTGGCCAGGTGGTGGTGGCGCACACCTTTAATCTCAGAATTTGGGAGGCAGAGGCAGGTAGATTTCGGAGTTTGAGGCCAAGGTCTACAGAGGGAGTTACAGTCAGGGTAACACAGAGAAACCCTTTTTCAAAAAACAAACAAAAAGATGGAGGTCTTGCTATATGGCCCAGGCTGGCCTTGAGCTTGCAATCTTGAGCATCTGCCTCTAACTCCCAAGTGCTGTATTAGACAGACATGTGCTATTATGCCTGGCTGAGACAGATGTCTACTTTTCTTTCTTTTTAAAGACTTATTTTATATTTAAGTATGTGCATGTGTATGTAGGTGTATATGAGTGAAGGTGCCTACTCAAGTCAGAAAAAGGCACCAGGCACCGGGTCCTCTGGAGTTGGAGTTACAGAAGCTGTGAGCCGCCTGACATGGGTGCTGGGAATTTGGGTCCTCTGCAAGAGCACAGCATGGCTCAACTATTGAGCCATCTCTCCAGCCTGTCCTTTTTTCTCTTGTCGTACTGTGGATTGAACCTGAGGCCTTTTGCAAGTGCTCCATCACTGAGCCATAGTCCCGGCTGATGAATCTTTCTTTCACTGAGTAAATATTTACATCTCTATTTTTAGCTCGCTCATAGCTTTTATTTTATATGTATTTATTTTGAGACGGTGCTTTCCTGGTGGTTTCCTTAGGCCTGGGTTTGTGGCTTTATGTCCCCAGGTCAGAAGAGAAATGGCAAGTTCTCTCTTGCTGGGGATTTTATCTTCAGCAACTGGAAGCCACACCCCTGAGAATCTCTGCCTCACCCAGCAACAGAACCCTGTGATTGTCACCTACCAGAAGCACTGACTCTCAGTCTCTGGTTCTGGGATTTTTAGCTCTGCCACGGAGCCCAGGACTTTTAGTTTAACAACAAATCTCCCACAAAGCTGAACAAAAACAACTATCCAAGTCTAAAACAGAACTGGATTCCCAGGTGGCCGTGTGCTGAACCTCACTGTGCACACGAGGCATCAATGTGTAAATTACCAGGCACAGTTGTATTTTCCATAGTCACATACACACATTTAACCCACTCTGTATTTCTCTTTAGGTCTTGCACACCATCACGACAGTATCTTTCACACTGCCACATAATCCAATATCACCAGACTGGAGCTCAATGCGGCAGTCTTGGTCTCTCTATGGGTCTGTCACCTCCTGCCCCTGGACCATACAATCTGGTCCCAGGCCTGTTGGCTCTTCCTTGGTGAGAGCAGATGCACCCATTTTCCTGCTTTATTTTCAATCTCGTATTCAGGGCCAGAAAGACAGCTTAATAGATACAGGTGTTGGTCACCAAGCCCGATGACCTGAATTCAACACCAGAACCTAAATGGTAGGAGTGAAATGACGTCAACCAGGTGTCCTCTCACCTCCACACTTTCTCTGTGACACGCACACATAATAGAAACAACAACAACAACAAAATCGCACAGCCAGTAACACACTGGGCTCATGGCATCCAGCTGACATTATGGCTCATCTCCATGTGCTCCTGTGCACTGGCAGGTTAGTTTCTAATGGACCTGCTGCACCGCCGTGCTCCAGGAGGTCACTAGCTGGCGGCCCCAGTCCCTTGCTGACCAGCCTCTGTGGGGACTCTTCAAAACAGAATTGGAAAATCACTACCTGATCCAAACCCTCTGCCCCAGTGTGGGCCTTTACTTCCATCCTGAGCGGAACTTCCTGCCTGGGGCTCACCCTTCCCTAACACTGCCTTCCCAGCCTCTTTCTGTTCTGTCTTATTCCTGCTTAATCAAGTCCTCAGGCGATGCCCCCCAAGCTCTTACCTTCTTATACAGAACATCTGAATTATGGTCATTCTAAATTTTACAGAAATCTTAGTCAGACTTAGTCATTCTGCATTTGGTATGATAATTTTAGATGGCTTAATGTATTATTTAGTATATAATTGACTTTCAAAACAGATACTTTTCTCAAATATAGTTGATACTCTGCATACAGGTGTGTTGTCCTTATTTAACTTGTTTGTTTGTTTGAGACAGGGTCTCCTTATGTAAACCAGGCTGGCCTTTAAGTCAGATAGATATCCTCTTGCCTCTGAGTGTGGGATGAAAGGTGCCTGATTTCCCCTTATTTTTAAATCTTTACATTGAACAACAACAACAAAATCAAACAAGTAGACAATCACTAACGCCTCTCCTCTGTAATAACAGAAAACATCATTGCTTCTCATTTGCAACTTGGGAAAGAGAAAATATCTTTGTAAATAGTGGGGTGGGTTTTAAGGACTGAGCCTCTATTAGCCTGGCGGGTCATTAGTGTCCAATGTGAACACTGCTGGGTAACTTATTAGTAACATGAGTGCTGTTTTCTGGGGGTTGTTGTTGAGGGAGGTGTTATGTCCTTGAGTGGGGTTTACTGTTAATGTTTGTAACCTGGGAGGTCGGGCATGGAGCCAAGGCATGCACAGTTATAAAATGAAAAGTGCATTTTAGAGGCCACCTACAAGATCAACTTGAGCTTTATAAAGGGAATATTTACTCCAGATAAAATTCACCTAGAAATTTGAAATCTTTAAAAAAGTTATACAGGCAGAAAGAAATAGTTACTCACTTCCTCTTCATCTTATTTCCACCTAAAGAGAGTGAACATGGCCAAAAAATTCAAGATAGCCTACACTTCCAGTAAGGCAAAGTGGCTCCTTGAATTGTACGAATTGAAAAATGGACATGGATAAACACCACACACACACACACACACACACACACACACACGCTCTCACTGTTTAGAAGGGAATACCAATATATTCACCTTACTAGGAATATATGAAAATACACACTGAATTGAAAGGACTATTATTCTTAGCTATCCATGGTGGTACACATTTGTAATCCTAGCACTTGGGAGGCTGAGGCAGGAGGATTACAGAAACTCTGAGGCCAGCCTAGGCTATCAGTCTCAAAAAACAAAACAAAACAACCAAACTAGCCAAACAAACAAGTACGGAAATCATTTTTAGATTAATTTTATGAATGTGAGTGTTTTGCCTGTGTGTATGTATGTGCACCATGTGCCTGTCAGATGTCCTGAGAGGTCAGAAGATGACATCGCATTTC